TACAATTAAAATCCAAAAAACATAAAATTTTAATTAGAAAATAATCTCTATATACTAACTCGATGATGGCCAAATATACTTAATTCTGTTGAATTCTACAACCGGAAACATGATTAAGCTATATTGAGAGGTTTCAAGTATGTCTAATCCGTTTTATCAAACAAATTAGCACAACTCAATCTATTTGACAGATAATGATCTTTTATATATTACAGCTTTTAACTCAGCTCAAATATTAAGTGTGCTAGCATGTCTCGATTTGAGTAATCTTAGCAGCTAATTAAATTAAAAATGGGCAAAAATTATTTCTAATTAGTAAGAAAATTATAAGTTTCTATCTATAAATGTCGATCTTTAAAAAAATGAAATTTTCCTTAATTTCAAGAGTACTTATGTGTATGACTCTTTCACTCACGATGCAACTTTAGGCATAATAAAATTTGAATCGTAAGCAGCTTAGTAATTATGGGCTTATGGATTTTAATTCAATAGAACTTTTGAAGATTCTGGAAACATCTTTATTTCAGAATTTGTAGTTTTAAAAGATGAAGGCACAAAAATAGAATACTTAGGAATATGCTCACATACCCAAAATGATAAAGAAACTGATTTATGGATGTAATTTTCTATTATGCAAATTAATGTAATAAATGGATAAAAAGATATTCAAATTACTGAAATTTAAAAAGACGAAAGATGTAGGGATACAAAGATGAACAATTATAATGAATTTTATGCTGTTACTAGCCTTTAAGCTGGTCTTTTTTCATCAATTGCCGACATGATTCTGTATAAAATAAGTTTCCTCAATTAAACCAAAGTTAGAATGGTTAAAGTAAATATAAATGTAGTCGGTTTGAAAGCAGTGTTTCATGCTTATATTAGAAACGATTACTATATTATTTATGGTGGATAACTTGAATCAGGATCAAGAACTTCTTCATTTGTAAATACAAATAATCCCTCATAATCATGTGCCTGAGTAAATAAAATGGATCAAACTATTGAGCTTTATATTCCTTTATCCTAACGATATTCCAAAAAAGAATTTGGACAAACGATAATTTTAAATAATGGTTAAGTTGTGTTTGAGGATAGCACTATGTAAATTCTAAGGTACTTAGAGCCAGAAATTTATGATAAAATATATAATGTTTTCTGCGATAGCAAATCTTAAATCATTTTGAAGAAGGCACAAGAAATCTATACGTACTTGTATGAAGATCCCTAGGATTTCAGGTTGGATATTAATTAGTTCATTTCAGGAGATGAGAATTGTCAAGATGTTTAGAGAAATATTAAGCATAGCTTATCTTTAAGTTTAGTTAATTAGTACAAGTTTGTCAAAGGTGTTCTAATCTTAGATTATGAAGGAAGAAAATAAAGTCATTCTATGGATAATCATCCAATTGAAGTTTCTTATCCAAATGGTTTGACCAAATATTTTTCATTCTTTGTAAAACCTTTGGTGTGTACTGGACCTTATTAAGAGTTAGTATAGTTAACTTACAGTATATATTCATAGCCAATGATTCTTGACCTAAATAAATACTATAAGAAGCCCTATGTCTAATGCCCTGATCCTATTCTAATAATTGAAGAGGAAGAGTCTCCTTTAAATTTTTTAAATCCGTTCACATTTGACAAGGAAAAATTATTAGTCAGTATATAATCCCAAAGCAAATTATCAATAGGCACTTATTATAGAAATTATAAGTTTTACTTTGATAGTTCAATGAAAAACATTGTGTCAAAATTTACACTCTAGTTATTTATCAATTGCAATTCCACCTATGATCATACTGAATCTACGTATCACTATTATATTGGATTAGGCGATTTAGTAATAGATGTTATCAATGATAAATTAGGGAAGTATCTGACTTGCTATAATTTAATAAGTAGCAGTCATGTAATTCCAACTTTCATTCCAGACTATGTAAGTTTCTCATCGAATCTCTACTTTATAAGCTTGAAGAATAATTCACAAATCTAGCCTTCTGGATTTGACAATGGAACCGTAAATTATTCAATGATGACATATGCTAAGTCTGATGAAAATAATCTAGACATTCCAATAAAATGGATTTTAATAATTCACGAATAGAAAATTGATAATTTTACAGAATAAAATAATACTAATTCCCAAAAATCCTCATTCAACTTCAACTCAAAATATTTAAAAAAACTTCCTCCAAAATTTTAAACATACCCTAATAATGTTCAAGTGAAAACAAATTAAATAACATCAATTAAATTACCTGAGGTTATTAGTGAAAATTCTAAAGACTATAGAATTAGCTTGACTAATAGACCCTAATTTATATCAATCTTTAAGAATAATCTTGTCATTCAGCCAGAGGAAAGAGACATTGGACTATATTCGGTATAAATAATACTAGCAAGAATTGACATCCCTCGTATAAAATCAGAATACATAATAGATGTTGAAGTGTCACTGCTGCCTATTGAAAATTAGACAACAAACATAAAGTGTAAAGATTTCAAGCTAACCGAGCAAGGAAATACTTAAGTTATTATAGTTAATCAATTTGCATTAAATTTAGAAAAGGATTTAGTTGGCTATGAATTGCTGATAAACTTTGCAAAGTTCAATGGAAACTACACAAAATTACAAATAAAACAAGGTTCATAAGAAAATAATAATATTTGCTAAGTTTAGATATAATATCTTGGAAATGGTCTGTTTTAAATAGAGCTTACAGAAAAATTCTTGAAATAATATCCAGCAATAAATGTAATATAATATAAAACTTAATTAAATTAGAACAAGATTTTTGAGATTTCAATAGACTCAAAGAAATCAAAATAGAACGGATTGCTATCATTTTAAGCATCTAACTATTAGGTCTATATACAAGCAACAAAAAGTAATTTAATAAAAATGTGATCCTTTTAAATAGTTGATCTTGAAAATAATGAGGGATTAGAGTATTTGGAACAGATAATGATTGCCTTTCTAATTGTCAATTTGATTATTTCTATTAATGTGTAAATTTAATTTTTATTAAAGCTACAGGGGAAAGATAGACACTCTCACATTCTAGATGCTTGATACTTTGCAATTGATAACTAGCATATAACTTTTTGATAATGAAGTACCACTTGCTTAATAAAGATTCAGCCTTATTTTAAATAGATTTTCAGCACTTAATTTTCTACCAAATGTTTTTACAGCAATTACTTTGGATTCTCGATGAAATAGTATTGATTATAAGTTTTAATATTTGGGATATACCTCATTTATTTTATGGAATTAGCTTCATGGATAAGTTATTATGCTTATTGCTTTTGGCTTATACTATATTATGAGATATTTGATGTAGAAAATTGTTTATTAAATAAAAAAATCAAAAATAAGATCTGAAAAAATGCAATATACTAACAAAATTACAGATTGGCTAGCAATGCTTTACATAAAACTCAATAGGAATTTAGCTATAAAGCTATTTTAATTATCTTATTTTCCAACTCTTTTTGTGATATGCTTGATTTTCAAATAAAGGAATTTAGCTTATGGCTCTTATGAAACCATTTAAATTATCTATAGTATATTCTGTACAGTGCTGCTGATATTTCTTTCATGCTTGCCAATCAAAATTGGCTATCAATCAATTATGATCTATTCAAAATCAGTAAATTGATATCTTCCAAATAGTAATTAAAAGATCAATGATAATGAAAGTTATGCATATTCTGATAAAAGTAAATATGAGCCAGATATTTAAACTTTCATATTTTTACTAAGAAGATTATTACTCATCATAAGTCTATTAGCTTTTCCTCTATCTATTTAAGTTTTTATCCAGGCTATAATCAGCACAATTTTGATATGATTGCAATCTGGAGTAAAATTATGGGAGATACTTAATTATACAGAGATTATATTCTAGATTTCTATTATTGTAAATCTATATGGATAATTTGGAATGACTATGAATGCTTTAAACATAGATCAGATTAATAGTACAAATAAATTTCTATAAAACATAACGATCGCTACAATGATGATATATTAATTAATCATTGTTTTCTTGCTTTTGGAAAATAAAATCAAAATGTTAAAATCAAAAATCTAAAAAAGAATAATTAGTAAAAACAGTATAATGAAAAGAGTGATTAAAAGAATTTCAACTAATGTCGATGTTAATAATTTATCGAAAGCTGTTATTAAAAAATAAAGATAAAAGAAAAAATCAAAGTCAAGTAGAATAAAAATACTAAGTGAAAATTCAACAAATACTGAGGATTTTAAGGGAGATACTTTATAGGGAAATTTATCTGAGATTTATGTATCAAGTACATAAGTAAATTTACTACCACCAATTAGTTCTATTAACAACAGAGGCGGTATGTAATTTCTAAATTTAGATGAAATTGAACAAAAACTAGAAGAATTAGATCTTAAATTAATTCCTAAGCTTTAATAGAGAATTTCAGTTCTTTACTCTAAAAAGTAAAACAGTGAGATTGTCA